CGGAGCAGCTGGTAGTTTCAAACTGCTGACCTTCCGGTTTGCAGCCCGATTCGTAACCACTACGCTATCCCCACTTATTGGTACTTAGCAGCTTAACAATAACAACATATCTACATCAGGAACCTTGGTGGAATAGTGGGTTTCGCATTGGGCTAGTAACCAAAAGGTTGGTGGTTTAAACACCCCTCAGCTGCCTCATGAATGAAAGATGAAGCTGTTTGCTCCTTTAAAGATTTACAGTTTCAAAAATTCTGTGTAGTCATTCTATTCTGTCCTTTATGGTCACTGAGAATCGGACTTGACTCAGTAGCAGTAGGTTTGGTTTGGTTTTGGTATCTTAACTCATGAACTTGGAGACCTGTTACAGGATTTATTTTGGTATCATGAAAAAACAGTATTTTCCACATAGGAAAAAGTGTATTTTTGTTTTTTTTAAAGTTTTTATTGTGAATTATGTGGGTTTACATTGGAGAACATCAGTTTTACATTCATTCTGTCGTATTTCGTTTCATTGCAATGATTACAGTCCTCTCCATTCATCATCAAACAACCAAAGGATACACCCCGCAAGCCTGCCCCTGGCCATCAACACACAGCCCCTCTCCCTCCCTGAGTCCAGTGTCTCTAGTCACTCCATATGTCCACATCATCGTCTCTGCCTCCATTTCTGGCATCACTGCCTCTCTGGCTAGGGTCCCGTGCTCTGCTCTTTTCACTTGATGGTCCCAGGGACCTGCTCCTGGACTGCAAAATCAGTCACTACCCTTCTTTGTTACAAAACATCTACCTTTACATTTCCGACCCTCACAGTCAGTCCTGATAGCAATTACTCACTATTGTACCGCACGAGTCTTAGCCCCATCTCCTTTCATTAGACCTGCCCCAACAGGTTGGAAATCATTCAGTGGAAATTCTACCTTCCCCTACCCCGTCTGGAACTAGGCTCCCTCTTGAAAACTTGTAAACCAGTCACTTCTTGCCTTTGCTGTTGTTGTTGTTAAGTGCCGTCGAGTCAATTCTGACCCATAGCAACCCTGTATAGGGTTTCCAAGGAGCTTGAACGTTGCAGTTCAAACGACTTTGCAGTCTGACGCATTCATTAGCCCAGAGCGCCACACCAGGTCTTGCCTTTGTAGTCCCCCGATTTTGAGTAGCCAGTGTCTAGTTGCCCATCCCTGTCAACCCTGTGTACTGATGGGGTGGGAGTGATCCTCACTGTAAAGATTCGTTCCCTTTTTTGAGCTACAACATCCATAAATATAGGTAAAGTTCATCAAGTTGTAGCAGATTACTCTTTTTTCCTCTTCTTTCGTCTAGTCGAGTTCTGATCGTCGAGCCATTGAAGCTTGGTCACGTGGGTACTATCTGCAAATATCGGTGTTCATGTTCATCTCCACTCACTTCATATCAGCTGAACGCTTTGCTCTGTGCTCTAGTCTGCTATGGCTATGTCACTGCCTCTGGGCCCAGGAATCCCTGGGTCTTGCCATACTGCTGGCCAACCAGGCCACCCAGGTTCACAGGAGTCTATTGAATGTGGTCGGACTAAGCTCCCAACTTAATTGCTGATTTTCCCCCTCTTACCCTTATCAGTGACCAACGTGGTCATCAGCCAGATCACATACCTGCGTGTGTATTCCTCTTGAGTCTTAGTCTTGGAAGGGGGTTTGTCCTGAGGGGCCTGACCACTTGCTTTGATGGCTCTTGGTCGAACAGCTTGCTTGTTCTTGTAGTAGTCAGTCAGACTGCTGTTATTGGTTTTGATGTTTCCTGTTGGTCTTTCTTTCACAAAGTATCTTCTGTTCTTCTAGCTGCTCCAAGCAGGTCTACTTGTCCTTTAAAGTGGAAATTTCCCACCTAAGAGAATTCTGGATGGGGTTCAGGATTCCATCTGTGGTCTTATGTAGTGCAAAGGCTCCACAGGAAGTCTTTCACTGGGCAATGTCTAGCCCCCTTTAAGGTATTCCAATCAGTTATAGGCAGAAGATGGGCTTACAAGCTTTCTATTGTGATGTTTCTGGCTCTTCATTTCTCTCCACCTCAAGTGTCTATATCACAATGGTATGCAAGGGAAACCAAGATTCAAAAGACAGCCAAGCATCTTAACATTATTCCCCTATTTTACCCATTCAAACCATGTCTCAATCCCTATATCTCCTCACCTCATCCCATCCCATACATCCCGGTGATCATCAAATATATTTATAATTTTTTTTCCCCTTTTTAGGGTGGGTTCTTTTTCTTAATCTTTTAAAATATGGTCTTATGCAGTATTTCTCCTTTTGTGACTCACTAATTTCACTCAACATAATGTCCTCAAAGTTCATACATGTTATGCAGTGGCTTGCAACTTCCTTGTTGTTCTTCAAGGTAGCATAGTATTTCCTGTATGTAGGTACCACAGTTTGTTTATTCATTCTTCAATTGATGGGCGCTTAGTCTATCGCCATCTTTATGCTATTGTAAATAGTGCTGCTGTGAACATTGGTGTGCATATCTACTCGTGTTATGGCTCGTATTTCTTGTGGGTAAATACCAAGTAGAGGAATTGCTGGATCATAAGGTATTTCTATTTCCAACCTTCTGAG